GTCGGAGGTTGGAGCGATATGTGGAGGGTTTCCTCGAGCTCTCCAACCGGGTGAGTTGGCACGACGCCGCTCTAGGTGCGTGCTTCCTGCTGGGGTTGGATGACGAAACTATCCGCTGCGATCTCCCTACGGGTGATTTTCCTTTGATCGAGCTGATTAATCTCGTACTATTCCTAAATAGCTCTGATATGGAAGTTGAGGAAGTAATGAGACTTCCCAAGCCTCGTCATCCAACTCCCGCAGGAATGCGCCGCGTCTCCCCAGCTCACCCCACGCCGAGAACCTCCACATACCACTCCAACGGCTCCTACCGCCTGCCTAACCCCAAATTCCCCGTGGTCCTCCGAAGCTCCGCCGGAGTCTTCAGCCCAGGAGCGCCGTGCTCTCAGCAGTCAAGATGGCCGTCCGCTCGGAAGTCAAGCCCGCCAGACGTTCATGTGGCACTCGCTCCAGTGCCAACTCCTCAAAAGCGCTTTGCTGGGCCTGCTCCTCCAGAGTGCCCTCCAGTGCCAGCACCACATAAGCACTACCTTGATCCCCAGTTCAGCCCAGTGAGGGCCCCTGTTTTGCCGTTAAGCCCAGGACAGGCTCCTCATCCCCAGTTAAGCCCAGGACGGGCTCCTGATCCCCAGTTAAGCCCGGGAAGGGCTCCTGATCCCCTGTTAAGCCCAGGGAGGGCTCCTGATCCCCAGTTAAGCCCGGGAAGGGCTCCTGATACCCAGTTTAGCCTGGGAAGGGCTCCTGATCCCCAGTTCTGCCCGGGAAGGGCTCCAGCCCCAGAGCTCGCTCCACGCTGCCCCCGGGGTTCTCGGCACCCGTCCTCACCCCAGAAGCCGCTCTAACACGCTTCTCTGAGCCTCCTCCACTGGTCCTGCCCAGCTCTCTTTCGTCTCCTTCGCCTCCGCTGGTCCTGTCCAGCCCTCTTTCGTCTCCAGAGCGCCCTCAAGTGCCGGCTCCTCCAGAGCGCCCTCAAGTGCCCGCTCCTCCTGAGCGCCCACCAGAGCCCGCTCCTCCTGAGCGACCCCCAGGATCCCTAGATTTCCCCAAGAAGATTTTTTGGGGGAGCCATATACCTGTGGCCGAGCCAACCAAGGCCACGGAGGATCCGTCATGGTCTCCTGAGTCTCCTGATCCGCCATGGCGACCTGAACTGCCTGCTCCGCCATGGCTCCCGGAGCTCCCTGATCCGCCCTGGAGGCTCTCCTTGTCTCCATCCTGTTCCAGTCCTGCACCAGCCTCCAGGGCACCCGCCCCCCTCCCCGATGGTGCTGTTACGGCGCGGGACGCGCCTTCCGGGAGGGGGGGAGTAATGCTAGGGTTATGTTTAGTTTTTGTTCTGTTTTCATTGTGTTCAGTTTATCTGTTCCCCTGTGACCTAGTTTTACTTTGGCTCCTAATTGTCATTTCGTTCACCTGTGTTTGATTAATTAACTCATTAGTTCTTTTGTTTGCTCCCCTACAAATACTCTCAGTTTTCCCTTAGTCTGAGTCCGTTCTCGTTTATGTAATGTTGGTCTACTTGCCTGTCTCCGAGATTTGTTGATTAAAATACCTTTTGTATATCTCCTTCGTCCTCGTGTGTGTACCACACCAACCCGTAACACATATCCATTGGTGTATTCATTTTATTTGATTGATTTAAAAGTGGAAACCTTTCTTTATTCCAGCATGGGACCTCTCAAGAGCTCAGAAACAATTCAAACCCTGCTTCAAAATATGCATTTATTATCCACATTATTTTCATCTTTAGAAGAACTCTGGCAGTACAGCTGTGTTCACATAATGGCAAAAATTCTCATGAAAATGCATACACGCATGTGATCAGTAATCCCTGCAGTGACTACACCTGCAGGTTATGTTTACCTGTTGCTAATAGCGTTGCATGCCTCTGTTTGTTATCACCGTTTGTTTTAGAGGCATGTGGGAAAATACCTAATGCTGTAATAAAAAACGCAAACTGTGGCATTTCATTACAGGAGGGAAAAATTCAATTACAGGGCTGTAGTTCTGCTCCGCACACTCCTGAGGGTAACACCTGAACGTTTGCACTTTTTTTCCAAAACGCTCTCTCAGTTTGGCATAGCATAAAAGCTCTCTAAGATATTATAGATTAACTGGTGAGAATGAGGTGAGATCTTGCTAAGAATGTTGTCCCGCCCCATTATTTTTTAAAATCACACCTAAAATGAATAATTGAAATGTTTACCTCAAATTATATAAATAATTACATGTTCAATTAAAAGTGACAAGCTTGAACTTTTTGTAGGATATGTCCATTTGTATTAATCATACACAACTAATTTGTTTACATAAAAAATTATATATGAATGCAAACCTCTGTGAGTAAATCACACTCATATGCGAATACATTTTGAACTGTCTAGCTTGCCAATCATTGAGTTAGAAGCTAAGAATAAGAGATATATTTTCACTCGCTACTTGTGAACACTATGAGTGCTTGAGAGTTTCACTTTCCATGTCTTTACACCACATTTATCGAATTATTCCTATTGATATCACTGGCTGCACAGCGTATTTGACTATATAGTCTGTCGAATAAACTATAAAAAGTACTAGCCAATGGCAATTGTATTGAATTTTAGGATGAAATGGAATACTTGATGCCATCTAAAACATTTCTCTCCTACACATTTTGAAGTTTTAAAGCCCTGTCAAATTTTACTTTTCAGATCGACTTATCTAATAATATCATCTGTATGATGGGAAATAAAATTTGCCTCTCAGGTATTGCAGAGTGTATTTGATTACAGCTATGTGAGATCATGAAGGGAGATAGTGGTGTGTGTGTTTAGTGGCTCAAGAGATAATAGATGCATACTCATTTATAAGATGATATATGCTAGTCCTTATTTTTCAGTTGATGGGGTTTCAGACAGACGCAGCGTTCAGTCAGGTATAACAAGTGATCGAGGAGTCTTCTCCGTCAAACTCTATCACAGCTTCTCAGTCTGACTGATGTGTATGAGCTATTTAAATATTGATGGGGCAAATCTCTTGCTGGTTTACAAAGATCCCAGACCCGCTTATTTGCATCCAGTTTTATTTATGTATGAACAAATATGATTTATTAATTCTGCGCCTCGACCCAGAGCAAGTTTCCACAGAATTCTAACTGTGGCAAATTGCCAATCGTATTTGTACCCAAAAATTAAACACTTGATAAATAATGTTGAACAGTGCCTTGGGAGGACAGCCAAATATGAATACTTGTGATTGTGATTTATTTATTTTGGTCGATATGCATGTGATTGTGTTCGATTGCATGTATGTTAGTGTGTTTGCGGTACATGTCTGTCTGAGGGCTCATGCAGCTGTAATGAGGGATTCAAGCACCAGAGAGATTTGTGTAAATGTGGAGTGAGCAATTAACGGCAATCACACTAAAACATCCGACAGACATCTGCAGCTCTCGCAGACTTGTGAATGAATATATACATAAGAAATATCTAAACTATCAACATCGCTGCAGTCTGATTAAATGGTAAATCAGAAACATGCAGAAAAAAATATTTTGAATTAGTTTAAATTTTTATATTTCCAGTTTTAATTTTAATTTTAAAGTTTTAGTAATTGTGTTGTTTTGGCACTTTTAATAGTTTGTCTATATGCCTACAGCTTTTATTATTTTAATTTCAGTTTTAGTTATTTTAATTAAAGTTGAACGAAACAAAATTAGGAATGTTGCCTTCGCAAATAGCTGAAAAAAACAAAAAACAAACAAAAATGGTTTTAGTTAGTTTAACCCTGCATACCATTTCATAAAAAAGTATGCTTCTATGTAGTTCTTGTCTTTTTACATGTGTTTCAAACTAGATTCAACAAGATTTTTTCATATATTGTAACACTTATGTTGACATTAGTGATGCTAGTGTAGCATAAATTACTCACTTATCTATGCATTAAAATATTTCTTCTCTGTTTCACTCTCAGTAGGTAATTTTAAGGTCCATACAGAATTTATCTAGTGCACCTGACTGCAAACACTCTGGCAGTGTGTTTGCTTCTCCAGAGTCAGACTGTTTGTATATCCCAGCTCAATATGTCATATCTTCAGGTCCAGTGTAAACCGGCTGGTTGCATTTCACAGGTGAATGGACACATTACTTCCAAATCCATCACCATGAGGCCTGCCTGTGAGGGGAGACACTCAAAGCTAATATCCCCACCAATGTGCTTTAGAGATCCAAAAGCCCAGTGCACCAATTACATCTTCAGAGCCGCATTCTTCCTCTCAGCCTAAATTGCTTTGTTACTGGAGTCTGGAGGCTGTCACACAGAAGTTTGAAGTAATGGAGTGTGAAAGGGGTCCAGGGGCGGTAGGCCTGATACAAGATGTGTTTTTCAGAGTGGACAGCAAGGTTGTGGAGTGTGTAGTAGTTGCTATGGAGTTTTAGTGTGTGAACTGCCTTTACTTTACAATAAATGAACGTATAGCAAAAATAGTCTTGGGCAGTGTGGTAATAGTGTAAAGCCAACATTGAACAAACTGAGTTAGAGATTTATAATAAATTTTTTTTAAATTATTAATCTTTATATTGTGTTGAAATTTACTTTTTTTTCTCCAGACTAATCAAAACCCCCAGCATTATGCCACAAAGTAGACATGACTTTTTTTTTTATTCATCAAGATGATTGTTTTCCAGAAATTGTTTTTTAGAAATGTTCTTTCTGTTTTGGGTCAGTTTGACACCAGCAAAAATTGTAGAAAAATGCAACAAAACAAAACAAATCAAATCAAATCAAAGAAAAGAAAAAACCTGGTTGAACTGCATCAATAAGAAAAGAACACTATGTGAGAAGTTTTGCATTTAGCAATGTTTATGTCTGGTGCTCTGTGACCCAAACAAAAGTATTAGAACTTGGTAGAATGTAATCAAGTTGACATTCTGATTATAATAGCTTGTCTAGGAAAAGTTTGGAGCTAGAAAAAGGCTGATTTGAGAGTTATGTACCCTGTATTATGAGTCTTCACTTATTCTCAATAATCATAATTGACTTGTTAACATGAGTATCTAAAGAAAGGCTTTTTAATGCCAAATATAATGATCCCTTATCAAGGACCCCCCTGTGTAAAATATAAAGGCTTGGCAGTTACATAGTTTTACATGTAGTTTTGTTTTTCAAATTAAATATTTGTAAATATTAAATTAATTAATTCCTGTAAATTTGGTTAATGTTGGGTGAAGTTATTTTTAAACATATTTAAATAATTCCTA